TTCCCTTGTCTGTTGTGAGCCGCCCGGAGTCCTCCGGGAGTGGGCGGCATACAAGACAAATAAAATGAAATGAAATGAAATGAAATTTTTCTCATGAACTCCACCTCTGTAAAACTGAAATATGTTTGAGAAATGCATTTATAACAAATATATGCTGCTTTGTAGAAAGACTGCAACTATCTTTTTTTTAAATTGTTTACTTTTATTGGTGTTATTCAGGACCTATTTAAATTCTTAGTTTGAGAACTGACTTGGGAAGATTCATTTTACATTAGATGAGATGCTCCTAAATTATCTTTTCAGCACATGACAAATTCTTACGACAAATCAGCTAGCACTGTCAAGAATTTCCTGGGCAATTAAAGCAATTATTTCCATCGTAACAATAACAAAAGAATGGAGCTGTTATTAAAATAAATTACCCATATTATGTACGTCTCTCTTTCTCTCATTATACGTACTGCATGCACATGCTTTTGCATGCTGATAACTTAGTATTTTATAAATAATCAAGTAATTTTATTTGTGTAATCTAAATTGCAGCATCAAACTGTTTGACTGGGAAAAGAGCTCTGATGATGAACTTCTTTCCTTTATGAAGTGAATCAAGAGATTAATTAATCATTCATATTAAAACACACAAATTATTTCAATTATGTAACAAATCATATGTAATTAACAGAAGGTGCTGAAGGTTTTTTCCACCCAGAAAAATGAAATAAACTGTATTTAGCTGCAAAAAAGTCCAATATAAATTATCAAATTTTTAATAAAAATGATCCTTATCAGGTTAATATATAACTTTATTCAAGAAATTGTGTTAGACCAAAAACTCTTTATTAAAATTAGTATTATTGATATTTCCAGAAAAAGCATAGGCACAAAATATTTAAAAATGAATGAATTCTATTCCATATTTTAGTGCTTTCTTATTGTATAAAGATTTGCTAATACAGCATTCTTAGGAAAAGATGCCTAAGAAATCATCCTTAAGGGAAGACATGTATATGTACATACGTATGCATCAGACGGAATGTCAAAATCCATTTTACAAAGCCTAATAATTTAATCAATTTATGCCTCAATGTTTTCTTTTGGACTGTTCTTATCCCAAGATATCATCAATGGAAGATGGTACCCAGGCATTGTTTAAATTCTTCCTCTGTGTACAAAAGAGATCTAAAAATAATTAATGTTAAGTTCTCCCTTAGTTTTTTTTTAAATATTAGTGGCAGAAAACTGCTACTTCCACAATATAGAATAAGTTCTTCATTCTTCGAAATCATCTTTCTGAGAAACCTTATGTAAATGTCTGAAGTAAACAGCAAAGAATTCATTTAATCTTAAGATCAAAACATTCATCTCCTGCATTTCGTAAGGAAGGCCATGAAACCAGGCAAGAAGAAACTTTACCTGGTCCACCATCTTAAAACACCAAAAGCAGTTGTGATAGAGCTCACCTGGAGAGTTCTGAGGGGAGGACACGGGGGACCCACGTGGTGACTGACAATAACTGGGATGAAGTAAGGCATGTGGTGGTACATATGACATAATTTCCTCTTCAAATAAACTAGGCAGAAAGTAAGCAGAAATAAAGCAGGTATGCAAATTGATTTGACGATGCCACATGTGACATTTTGTAGAAATATTATACATTCCTGTATACACCAAACAAACACCATGTTGATTTCTTTGAAAGACTGCACATTTGCATCTGAAAATGTCAAAAGCTACAAGTGAAAAAAAAAGTTTAAGCGTAACTTCCCTGTTCCAAGTGTTTGTTTGTTTGTTTGTTTGTTTGTTTGTTTGTTTATTTATTTATTTATTTATTTATTTATTTATTTATTAGACATATACCGCTTCATAGGGCTTTCAGCCCTCTCTAAGCGGTTTGCAGATTTTTAGCAAATTGAGTCAGCATATCGCCCCCACAGTCTGGGTCCTCATTTCACCCACCTTGGAAGGCTGAGTGAACCTTGAGCCGGTGAGATTTGAACCGCTGAACTGCAGATAACAGTCAGCTGAAGTGGCCTGCAGTACTGCACCCTAACCACTGTGCCACCCACTGGAAATATCTTTATAATATCTTTATTTGTTCTAAAGTGCTATCAGGTTGCCACTGTCTATATCGCTACGTGTAATATGAATGACTGACCTAACGCATTCATGCTTTGCTGCTCAGACCACACACAAAGAATACTTTGGTATGTCTCACCAGAAATATGTAATGGCAACAGCTAATTCTGCTTTTTGCACAGAATTGTAGAATAAATTGCAATGTGGTAGGCCTCCTCATTATTTTTTAGTTAAAGGTAAAGGAGACTTCTTTAAATATACCTTTTTTTCTAGGCTTTTTAATAATTTATTTCAAGGTTTTGTTTTAATGTTTTATCATTTTAAAGGTTTGTAGGATTTTTTATGTTACGTTTATACACTGATAAGTCACTTGCAGCTGTTAAAATGAGCAGTATACGCAGTCATTAGGAAGTAAATAAAATTACATTATGCCATTTTTTAAATATGGAACCCACAAGCAATGTTTTTTGTATCTTTCCTCTTCTGTGCTAAATGCATGTAGCTTTCAGCTCAGTAAGTGTCTTCCATATGTCTTTTAAGGGAAGGTGAAGGTGGGGAAAAATAATCCAGTCCTGAAAAGCAAGACTCTCTCTTATTTAGCATGTAGCACAAGTCCCCCCCACCCTCTTTTGCTAAGTAAAGCACTGCTCCTTTGATTGCTTACTGCAAATGTTTTGCAACGTAACTGAACATTCCAATGGAACTGTTTCTATCTTGCAAGATTTTCCAAATGCTTTACTTCAGCTGCATTTCTAATGTGAAATATGGCATTCAGACTTTGTTGTTTGGATGCTAAATTGCCCTGCTTTGAATGGAAGGCCATTCTCATTCACGGAAAGTCTTTGATCCAGCTGAGGCATCTGTTGGGAGAAAACTATTTTGTCCACTTTTCCCCAAGAGTGCACTGAACTGGAGCTATAATCTTACAGTAGCAATTTCAAAACACTTTGGAGCAGATGGGAGAGCATAAGGCTGCAGAAAAGAAAGGAAACGGTGAAAACCACCAAGCTGGTTTCTTTATCCAGTGGAAATGTCTTGTGAATGGACATCCCACAGGTTCCCAGATTGTCACTTTGTTTAATGTTAATAAAAACAAAGGGCTATTATGACAGAACGTAAACAAAAGATTCTGAGAGGCATTGCCTTCTTTCCATGAGACAAATTGTTTTACAATTTAGCCTGAAGTTAATAAAGTAAGGTATAATATGCTTTCTCCATCTGCAAATAGGCATGGAAATAAAGGAACACTGCACAGATCCAAAAAGCATTGATATTTTTTTAAAAATGTTGATCGTAGTATTTTTTTTTTTAAAGATGCAAAACACATTCGAGTTATCTATCAAACCAGTCCTGGATTATCTTGATAATATATTATTCATAAGCCTTCAAGATAGCATGTTAAAACAGTACAATTAATGCTTCTGACATGATCATCCTTCAGAGCCATAAAAATGACAGGTCCATTGAGGAATGTGTTTCCTGACAGATGAATAATCCCAGAATTGCTATAAAAAAAATAACTTTCAAAACAAAGCAAAATGTCTTCTTTGAAATGAACATGGGGAGGGGAGGGGGGAACCTAAAGAACAGTATTATGCAAGAGTTTGAGAATACAAGCAACACACTGTGTTGTGGCATGAAAGTTCTGCAGGGGCACCCCCGCAATATATCAGAGGCAACATTACACAGTGGGTGTGTTTTCATGGCAGACTAAGTCTAAGACCCTGAGAGTTATGAATGAGCAAGTGTGCTCGGATATGCTCCAGCTTGGCTCCAATTAAAACGCAAGGCAGAAAAGATCCCTGTTGCTCAAAGCAGCATCTACACATCACTCCTCTCCTTTTTTAAAAAGCACAAATTACATATGATAACAATACGCTACAAGTTAAAACACATATAGAAGAGCTGCAGGGCAGATGTAATACCCCAGTGGGCGGGTGGGGGGGGGGAAGGCTCTGGTAAAGTGTCATTCTGTGAAAAATGCATGGACTACAGAAATGATACTAACTTCTTAGGGGTTTGGGGGTGCATTCTAACTGAGCCCTCTGACGTATAATGAGAACCATACAAATATAGAAATGCTCTTAAAAAAAACACATCACAAAATCCCATAATTATGCATGAAAGGAAAAAACTAAGATTGGATCAAATGAACCTATGGCAATTATCAAAGCGTACAAATTTGACTTCCTGGGGGCGGAGCCTGTCACCGAAGAGGGCTCAACGGAGCTCCTCTCAGAGATCTGGTCTGTATATCTAAATAAGATCATAGATATCACCCCTTTTTGGCTAAGAAAGGGGCAGGGAGTAGCTCTGTGGCTAGGGTCTATTCGTAATTCACAGCCTTTCTCTTTTTTTTGGCTGTGGACAGAGATTAGATCCAGCGTAAGCGGAGCCTTTTTCTCCAGCCAGTTCTTCTCAGCTGCTTTTTTTTTGCAGCCCCAGACAGGCGAGCCCCCCCCCCCAGGACAAAGCAAAGTTGTTTCAAGCCAGGATTAATACGGGCGGGTCCCACCCCTGTGAGATTTTTGCTTTTATTACCATCTTAAACACCAGCCTCATTTGTCACAGAGGCTTCTTTGTTTAAACGGACTTCAAAATGGCGATTTCTCTCCGTTGCTGACTGATAGGGGACGTACTTAGCCGGCTTTATCTTCCTGCAGACTGCTCCTTAACAAAATAATTTTTTTTCTTTTGGAAACAGAGGGGAGTGAGAGCGCTGTTTATTTGTTTATTTATAATGCCATCCAGGTCAAAAGCGAAGCGTTTCTCTACGAATGTGCTTAAAGAATCTATGAATGAATCTAAAGAATCTATTATGAAATCGCTGCCCTTGTCTCCTACGCCCTCTAC